TATATAACGATCACAGGACCACTTTGCGGAAAATACTTTCTTATTGGACGTCTAGGTCTTGTCATTCAGGAAAAAACTTTTTATATATACTCTTTATATTTATTTTCATTTTATTGCCTGAATGTTTGTATGATTTTAAAGAAATTGTAAATTTACATTGTTGCCGCATAGCTGAGTACCAGTGGTAAGCTCGGATATGTTCAAAACAGCTGTTTATCACAAGAGTCTGAAGCGCCTGAGGCAAGTTGAAAATTTGGCTACTTTCAGACGTTATGGATTGTTTAAGTGCTCTGGACTCCACGGTGGCTTGTAGAGGCGGTTCCAAACATTTGCTCTAACTTAGCTTTTAAGGCCTAAGCGGCGTAGCCTGTACAGCCTGGAAAGGCAGGTCACGTCGCTTAATTCATAAATATTTTTTTTTTATGCATTTGTTGTATACATTTTCTTCAGAAGGCAAAATGGTAGAGTTTCTTCAATACTCTATGGATTTAAATTAGTTTTTCTTATAATTAGCGAATAATTTAGCATCTCAATAGGCGCAGTTTCGATTTCTTCGCTAGGGTCTGTGATAGTTTTGAACCCATCATGTGGAAAATTTTTGGAAAATTTTGGAAATACTCCAACTCAACCCTTTCCCTTTGTTACTCATTTCATAAGAAACTCTTTAGCATTTCACTTTCCTCTAATCCTCCGCCTAACTAAGTACATACATACATATATTATAAATAATGTTAATTGTGCAACTAATTTCATAACCTGCAAAACTTTTCTCTAATCAAGAGTGGGGTTTTCCATCTCTTGACTGTTGCCGCGACATTTACGCTGACTTTCAACTTCATTGTGTTGGCTTTTGCCATAAAGAAAGAACAAAAACAATCAATTAAGTGTATGTGGCTTCTGGCATGTAAATATGTATGTACTTAACATATGTATGTATATGTGGTGTAATGGTGCATGCGGTTCATGCAACAATTAACGCCTACTCATGACTCGTGCAGCAAAAGGCATTGTCCTCCGAGCTTCTAAAGTTGATTTCGGTACTCGTGAAACCAACTTTTTAATTTAATTAATTTTTAAGTATGAAAATTTAGAAAATAGACAATAACATTTCGCTGGCAATTGGCTTTAACACTTTTGTGGAGCGCATAGTGCAACGCTACCCACACAATTAGGAGTGTGGCAAGAGTAGAGCACAATGCAGTGCGGGTTGCATACAAACATAACTAGGCAAATATGTACGTGTATGTTTCAATTTTCACAAATATGTGTCTTACTTCTTGAACATGTATTGGATGCATCTGCATATACATAAATTATATAGAGTAATTTATATATAAATCTGTATGTGATATGAATTTCCATGGCAGCCAAAAGTCTTGAACTCCTCTCACGTTTATATGTATCGATAAGTAGTGAGAGAGCGCTTGAGCAAACTTTACATGCAGATACAATGTACATATATGAGCATTGCAGTTTCTCTGTGCCCATACAATGCGATTATATAATAAATAAATACATCTTAGGACAAACAACAATGTCGTGTAGAATACGCTTGTTTTGGAATTGTATGCCACTGTCAACGGTTACAATGCAACGCGTTGTGGCGCCTACATTCGCACTTGGCTAACCGCTTTGTGCTGCTGGCAATTTCGGAGCGCATGTAGTGCATGAGTCACCAATTTCAACTTGCATAATATATACATATGTAAGTATCCACAAATGTACATATTTCCTTTGCCTACTCAGAGTAAGGGCGTCACCACTCTACTGCCGAGCAGTTAAAAAAATATTGGCTACTGACAGGATTTCAAGCTGCCTCCGTTCAGTCGCCATCGCAACTATAGGTTTTTAACAATATTCGAATATTTTCTATATTGTTAAAAGAGCTGGCACCACGGTGAAGAGAAAAGTACTGTCTATTGGACGGTCGAACGCAATGCGAACCGAATGGGAAAGATATCGAGCTTTGAAGAGTGAAGCATTTGCAGAGGGCACTCGATCAGAGGAGCTGCCTTCTTTCATGTCGAAGACTTTATATTATTCATGACCAAAGTAAATTTGTAGGGTTCCATTTGATGGAAAATTTTTTGAAGGGGCGATATGATGAAGCTTTAAGATTTCGACGATTTTTGGAGTCAATATTTATTTGTATATAAATACTTGTAGAATACCAAATCTTTAAAGTGCAAGATGTTTTCTTGACCCAAAATCTCAAATCTGAAAAATTGGGGGTATATATGTTATAGAGTCTCGATCTAGGCGGTTCCAACAAATGATCGTTTAAATGTACCAGTACATCCGTCTCAAAAACTGAGGGAGTAGTTTGTGCAAAAACAGACGGACAGACGGATGATGAACAGAGCTAAATGAACTCAACTCGCTATTCTGACCCAATCGGATGGGTCTATTACCTCTGCTTCTGGTACTTATATACTTCAGTTCAAAGTTAATATAAAGAGAGAAAGTCTGAAAGACGGGAGTATGAAGAAATTGAGAGCATGTTCCACATACGAATGTTTGCATAAGAGAAAATTAATCCGAAACCCCAATCGGTGGCGGAATACTCGTATATACTTAATTTTTTCACTGTTATGAAGTCCAAACACCAATTGCATGCCTGAAGAGCAGCAAAGCCGTGGTTGCCAATGGTCTACCAGTTGAGTTATTCAGAAGAGGTTGCGATTTGCGGCAACCATAGTCCTATATTAGTTCAATTCTATTGTAAAACACTAATGCCCACCGTCAACGAACTGATTCCACGCTAGCAGTGTGGTGAATTCATTTGGGCACATGACTTGGATTCACGACCTTGTTGACAGTGGTAATTGAAGTTGTAGACTACTCAATTTCTTCTAGTTAGGGGTAAGTAATTTAAAGGTAAAGTCCTCCCCACGAATAAAGGCCACACTCCATACGTCACTCATCGTTCTCTTCCTTATATTATATATTGCAACGGTAGCCTCTGAAGAGCCGAAGTTTTCGAGAGATTTGTGGTACCTTGTACTATTGTATCGGCGAGTCACAATGACAATGGAACGATGAGTTGTATGAGTTACGCGGTCTAGTGTAAGCTGAGATATCGGCTACGCTTTGACGGTTTCCTTTTTCGCTTCAGCGGAAGTTGAGTAAGAGGAAGACCTTTACTCCGCTGGAAAGAATATACAGAGAAGGACCTAGTTTCACTTGGGGCCCTCAATTGAAAGGAAGAAACGAATAATCGTCGCTTTTTAGTCCTAAGTATTGACTTCGGTGGCCGCGGTAACCGAGTGGTAAGCATTGCGTACTGCCATTCGGGTTCAAGCCTGGGTGTCGTACTACCATCCAAAAAGTTAAAGAAAACTAATTTAAATAAAAAATTAAGATGCATTTTCTAATTACGGTCGCCCCTCGACAGGGAATGACAACCACTCCGAGAGTATTTATGGCATGAAAAGCCACCCTCATAAAAAATCAACAGACCTTCGGAGGCGGCTTACTACAAACAATAGGTCCCTGCATTTTTTGAAGAAAAAGATCAAGAAGCAAAACCACAAATTGGAGTAGGAGCTCGGCGGTTACAAAGCGCCAATTATATATATACTAAACCATATATATTGTATATATATAAAGAGCAGATTCTTCTAGATAAAGAATGCATGCAACGAATAGACAAATACTCCTACTTGAATATATACATATATATATAATCATCTTCAAATGAAATCTGTGCAAGTTCAACTCTATTTCTGAGCTCGTCAGGAGCAAGTTTGATGTTTCTTTTCACAGCTTGTCTGTTACTGTCTCAGCGTGAGATAAGAAAAATTTGTATCAGAGTTCTGTGAATTGGTTTCGTCGTCTGTGATTTGTTTTTATATCACCAAGAGAAGTCTCTTAGTAGCTCACTCTTTGCTTCTCTAGTTTAAATGAGTAACTGGGATTAAAACGCATTGCCAAGAAGGCCAAGTAGAGGCATGTTGAGAGTTATATTCAGCACACTATTGAGCATGGTTCTCCTAGATTGATTAATACAAATCGGGTCTGACTTTTCTAGTTTGATTGGTGGTACACAACTCTGTTCATACCATCACACCACTAAAAAAATGATCTAGCGACAGATCATGGAATTCAAGCCCCACATATTTCCTAAAACTTTTTGCTTGCATAAAAAGTGTGAAGTCACCCTAACTCTTTCATTTACATTTCACTTAAGTTCTTTGTCTAGCTTTAAACTGATGGCATTGTCATGAGGATTACTGGGATAGAATTTGAAAACTTGAGAAACAACTAGCTAATCCAGAACGAACAGAAGTTCTTAGCGTAGGGAGCTTCGAGTTGAAATCATTCTTTGAGGAGTGCGTATCTCTACAGAAATGCAAGCCGCTGAAACTTGTCTTCATACCCGTGGAATGCAGAATGAGTTCCTGAACGAGCGTTAGGCTACTACCGGACATTTTTATATCTGCGTAAATCATTTAAACCTTATAGCAATGCAGCCAATTTCTGACTTCACTCCTTTAAATAGGTAAAGTTATACTAAACTGATAATCAGCGTCAAAGTAAACGGTTACAAAGAAGTGACTTGGGGCGTTTTAATTCTCTGCAGCTCAGTGAAGAAACTTTTCCTTATCGACATATGTACTTACACCCACATACGCTTACATACATGTGTGCAGCTTAAAATGAATTTCTTTGATGTTTTAATATCTTTGGGAAAATCGGAAGCTTTGCGGTGAAACCGACGACTTCGGCAGAGCAGGAAGAACAACAAAGAACATAAAATCACCATTGCTTTCGCTACTAAATCGCACACATCGGTCACTCCGCGGCATGCCACACCGCACCACACGGCGTTGAAACGCTCATTCTTTTGCTTTTGTTGCTGTTCTTTTTTATAAGCTCACCAAATTACGTTTACAGCCGAGAACAGAGTCGGCCGCATTGGCGAAGCGCTACTGATGGCAAACTTTATATCCATAATTAAAAGCTAACAAAGCGGTGAACATAAAAATAAATGAACTCACCGTGCTCCGCTTTTAGCACATCATCAGCTGCAGGAGTTACTTTGGGCGCTGTGACTGAAGCCGCTGCTGGACGGCCCAACGTGGCGTGGCTCCTATCGTCGTCGTTCTTTTCAATGTTGTCGCCGTTCGCATCCTCGTATATATCCTCATCGTTGCTGTCATCATTGTCGCTGTTATTGTTGTTGAGCACATCATGTTGACCATCATCATCATCATCATCATCATCATCAGCATCGTCATTGCCCTCGTCAGCATCATCATTATCGTCACTTTTGTCACTGCGAATGACATGTGACACAGTCGCAGCTGCTGCCACTGCTGTTGCGGCAAGTGATTGAGCGTTTGTGGCTTTTGTTGTTGGCAGTAATGATGTCGATGATGTTGGCGCTGTCGTTGCTGTTTTTATTGCCGTTGATGAATGCGCCGACCTGCACGCATTCTGTTGAGTAAGCAACGTTTTCGTGCTGCCAAGTGACATAGTTTTCTCCTTTGCGTCGTCCCTCTGTCGCATGTCTCGATTGTTGTTGCTGTTGCTGTTGTTGTCGTTGTTGTTGTTGTTGATGTTGATAAAATGTTGTTGACTGCTGCTGCTGATGCTGCTTTTATTTTTGCTTCCGCCATTATTGGTCCAACCGTCACTACTACTACTAACTACGTTGTAGTTGTTGTTGATACTTTCGCCAATAGTTATGTGGCTTAAATCCTCATAATGCGCGGTGCTTGTTGCCCTACCGGCGCCTGCAGCTCGTATTTCTATGGCTGCATCATCAAAATTATAGCCATCATAATCGTGGGTAGTAATTTTTATGTTGTTGGTGTTGGTGTTGTTGTTGTTGTTGTTGTTGTTGCTACTGTTGCTGCTGCTATTACTTGCCTGAGCAATCACTTGCGTTACTAAATCTGAATATTGTTTCAACTCAGCCAGCAACGCATCCTGTGTTGGGAGTGTCAGTAGCAACTGTGCTGATTGTCCGCTGGGTTGTGTACTTTCGGTTTCGGTCACATTTTCCAAACGCTCCATCCGCTGTTGTTCTCGTTTTCGATTGTAATACTCGTAATTGGATGTGGATTTGTGTATTTGAGGACTGCCTTCAGCCGCCCCTTTGCTACCCTCCTCCTCATCGGATAAAACTTCTTGAATTTCAGCGAGCTCAGTGGCCTCATCACTGCTGGCGGTGTCGCTTTCCAGCGCATGCACTATACGTTCTTCTGCGCTGAACTGCACTTTCTTTCGTATTTGTGGCAGCGGAATGTAAAATTGCGATTTCGCTGTGGGTGAGGGGGAGGCGTTGGCGCTATTGTGGTTTGCATTTCTGCGTCCTTGATTAGTAGGTGTCATTGCATTCGCGCCAACGCCGTTCGCGCCAGCTGCCAACAGCGTTTGTTGATCCTTGACGTTTGGCAAGTCGGCGGCATTCTCGGATGTGCGTGATGATGGACGCTTTAATATTGATTTGATGTTCTGGTTTGGTGTGAGGGTTGGACTCATAACTCTTTCGCCGTCTATTCCAGCCGGAAGCACTTTACTGGCGTCAATCTTTGATTGAGTGTGCTCTACTTCGCTTTCAGCACTTTCACTCGATTCAGATTTGCGTATACGTGGCGGTCGTTTCGGTTGGCTTGCCGGTGGCGCCTTGGAAAAATCATGAGAATTACCTTGTTTTTCAGCGCCACCTTGTACACCCTGCACGCCCTGCTGTTTTGTTGGTCTTTTCGTTGGCTCAGCTAGTGTGATGCTCTCATAGCTACGCCCATCCTCGTTTTGTTTGATTAATGATTTGGCTGTAGTTTTGCTGTCGCCTAAGCTAATACGTTGCCCGGCAATTGCCTGCACATTGTTATAGTTACGTTTGCTTCGTGTTTCCTCAGCATATTTACTGCTGGCGTCTTCCTCGCTAACGTTTGCACACGTATTCGGTGCGCCTGCTGTGCGGCTCTCACGTCGTAAAACCGTTGTTTTGTGTTCTACTGATTTTGCTTTTGGACCTTGTAGCGCTTGCGCTGCTTTATTGGCTGGAGGCAGGCGAGTGGTACCGCCAACTTTCAGGTTTGAGGTAAACGGTGGTGCTTCCTCAGTAAGTGCCGCATCTGCCACATTAAAGTCGTCATTTGGTGGCATAAACTCATTCTGTGATGCGGAGTTTGTGCTCAAACGGGTAGTTGACGCTGATAGTTTGTTCCGCAGAGGCGTTATGACACCACTATTAGTCATGTGGTTGTGTGAGATCAGATCATATGGATTTACATTGCAGCGTAGTATGGAGCGTCGTGTGGTGTTACCTTCGCTACCCACGGCACCAGTGGCATTTAATAGTGTATCTGTGTCTTCCACCAGCCAGCTGTCCGGTTCTTCACGCATGCCACTACCGCCTGAAATACTCTGCTGTTTTTGGCCTGACACAGGCAACTGATTGCGCTTTCGGCTCCGTCCGCGTACAGGACTTGCACTTTTGCCACGTCCTCGTGACTTATCCTTGTCACGACTATTCGTCGCGTCGCGTCCAATACCAATACCACCACCACCACCACCGCTAGCTGACGGTTCGGGAGAGAGCAGACGCGTGCGTCGCATCATATCATAGGGATCCTTTTGCGGATCGAGTATCGTTGGACGTGCTTTTTTCGATGTGCTTACCACGCGCACGGTCGCAGCGCCACTACTGCGCATTTTCGACACGGCCAACATACCACTAGCTGGTAGGCGCATAGTACCACCGATGGGCGTCAATGGTAGCCGTGAACCTTTGCACTTTTTACACACGCTCGCTTTCTTCACATCTCTTTTTGTGCCATTCAAATACTCCGGGCACGAACAGATGACCACCGCCAGCGGTTGCATGTAATTGCTGGGCGACGCTGGCGCCTGTGGCATGAGGTGTTGGTATGAGGGGCGCGCGGGCACGCCGCGCACAGTGCCATAGATCCATGGCTCCGCGAATTTCATGGAGCGTGAGAGGGCGCTAGGCAAATACTCATAGCCGACATTCACTCCGCCAATGCCGCCCCCACCGCCGCCGCCGCCATTACTGAAGTGATAATCATTCAGTTGTAGTGTTGGTAAATGCATTGCGGCTGCAACTGTGTGATATTGCTGTACTTGAATTTGGTTGTGGGCAAAATTATTTGCATTATATACAGTATCTTGTGTTCGTTTTGTTTTTGCTATCGCTTGTTTTGCTGTTGAGGCTGCTTTTTCCGACAGTTTTATGCCCGTCACCGTTGCGCCGGCCTCAGAAAGGGTGCTTGTTGTGTTTGTTGCTGCTGTAGTGTTGTTGCTCTCTGTGTTTTTCGTAATCTTGAGCCTTTGACTCCAGGTTTTCTTTGATTTGTCGTACATCGGCGAACACTGCAAAGAGAGAACGAGAAAGTGAGGAGTGTGAAAACAAGAGGGGGAATAAAACGAAAGCGGAAAATTATGAATTAGAGATTGCCTTATTAAAGGTGCAGTGCGAGATACTGAGCGCTGGGCAAGCAATTTATAGAATGCATACGGTAGTTGGATAGTACTTCGCTGCTAATTTGGAATATGTCGAAGGTGGTTTACGTGCCAATGATCTTGCAACAGTGGCAAAGGAAAGTATGCTTATATTGTATGCCGACCAATGCCAATGCCCTGAGTATTGCAACTAAGTTGCGGCCGTATCTCGTATGCTGGATGGGCAGAGTGCCATCACCGGCAACCTGAAGTGTAGTTTAGTCAAGCTTACCTTGTTCTTTTTGCGCGCATAATCTCAATTGCCAGAGCTCTTGCAACTTCTCATCAATTCCTTGCATTGAAGTCAATCATCAACAACAGTAGGAAACTGAAAGTAAATAAAATAGATATAAAGAATCATGAATAAAAGAGTGCTGAGTAAGGGAGAAAAGTGAAAATAGCCAATTGATTGAATATTCTCCTTTGGCTACAGAATGATAATTGAAAATATTATTGCGCTCGTAAGTTCATATGCACATTATATAATACATATATGTATGTAAAATATGCAACAAAAAATTACTAAAATACGGAAGTCAACCAATGCACTTCCGTGATGATGGAGGAAAAATCTTGCAGAGCTCTTTTCATTCCGACTGGATAACGAATTTTGATGCAGTGAGGAAGTGAAGGGAATGCGAAGTATTCGGAGGAAGTGGGGATAGTAATAGAAATTTGCACATTTGAAAGAGCACACAAAGAGCATCCTGGGCTGGGGTTACAGAAGCCGGTTAAGTCATTTCCGTCAGATACGCTGAACTTGCTCATTTATCAATTGTTTATAGACATAAGCATTCGAAAAGTCCCAGCAGGTTTTGCTATCAGACTTCTGAAGTGAGGTTGTTGGAGCCAAAAACGGAGCTAACGAAATAACAAAGCAACTCAAAAATCTTTTAAGTTAACCTGTCAGGGTTAGATTTCAACAGTTTCACAGGCGAGATTACCCTGTAGACACGAGAAGAGAATTCGCAAGAGGGAAAATAATCACTATCTCAACATATACAGTGTGGGAGCTTACCTCGAAGATCTCAAAATCTCAAATTCCTTACAACCATCAAACTCAGCTGACATCATCCAAACGGAAAACATTTCAGGTAAATAAAAATCTGTCGAGTTGGCCAATACATCTCTTGAGAGTTGAATTAATGTGTTGTCCGTTAGAAATAATAATGAGAAAGCTGAGAGCAAATTGCATTAAAACAAATGGAAGCTCTTATCCGAAAGTAAGATGAGGAAGCAGATTTGGCCAAAGTACCATCGGTACGATGGAAATATTAGCATAACAGTTGAAGGAAAAATCCTTCAGCGATCATGTATCAAAAATGCGTCCGCACTGTAACAGCCGATGCCGCAGCTGCGTATTACAAAATTGCACGGTTAGCCCGATATTTTAAACCTTCAACCCGTGCTTAAGATAGGGAGTTACGTACCAGAAAGTACGAGTAGTTCCTAGCAACCTAAGAATACAGATTTTTCTTTTAAATATTAATGGTTTGTTGTTATTTCTTTCTCTCATTCTAGTTTTCCTGAGCTATGTACTTTATTCCACTATTTTCCTTTCGTGAAATAAGAAAAAAAAACTAACTGAAGATACATTAAGACCAGTAGGTTTCCGAAATTTTTTTGGTCCGTCATGAATTTGTTCCAAACTGGTTGAAAGATCGAGCTCTTTTTTGGCAAAGTAATTAAGAACAGTGCTGCCAACTTAATAAAAAAAAATGCTGAAAAATATTCAGCGGCAATTTAAATGGCAATCTCTGGAAACTTCCTGCTCTTAATGTACTTTTTTTCATACTACATTTCGACACAAATTTGTGTTCTAGCAAACGAACCAAAGCAAAAGATAGCGAGAGGTAGGTAGGTATTCTTTGCTGCCGATGTTGGAACGACGGCTCACGTGGTAACGTACTTTTGATTATTTTTCCATTCATTCGGGCACTCCAATAAATCTCAGCAAACTGTTTATTTTCGCCCGCCTATCAAAGACTATACAGAAAAACGGCGCTAATGTCGAGAAAACCTGCACAGGACAGTCACATAGAAGATGACTCGTTTCGACACTGCTTTTGTCCTGCTACCCGAAGAGCTGGGAGCGCGGTCACCTCACATCCTGTCAAGTCGACTGGAAGCATACAATGGTAAAGTGGAGAGAATTATTGGTGCGTTTCTAATGGATCTACTAATACTACTACAAGTCCCACTACTTATAAGCAAATAAACAATATTTAACTAAGATCTCTGAGTCAAGGAAGACAGTTCACTCGTATCCACCCGTTTGGTGCATAGAAACAGCAATAATTTTTCAGCAAGCCCTGACATCGAATATTTTGTAGTGGCTCCACTTATTTTCTTTTCTAATCTTGAATTAAGGATTTAAGAGGGTTGGTAGCAGTTTCTTGCACAATATTTACTTATGTTTCCACGTCCCAAAGGATCTGGATTATATCACTTCCAGTATGTGCTTAGACAATCTTTTCTCTATGAGAGTCCCCAACAAACATGAGTGGAAAACCACCAACGCCCTCGGTCAGTGAGCGATATCCATCTTCACAAATGGCTCGGAGCACGTTGGAAAAGTGGCTTGCGGGTGGGTTTTATATGAACATGAGACTGAAGAAGGTCAATCGGTTGCAATATACTCCGACAGTGTAGCAGCCAGCAGATTTATGCAATGTCAAAACTGACCATAAAAGGCTGAAACAATCTTAACAAACAATCAATCACAAACTCAATTAAATCAAGTACTGCCGAGGTACCTAGGCATAGTAACATCAAAGGCAATTGCCTGACAGACGAATTGGTGAGAGAAGGAACCACTCTTCCCATAATAAAACATGCACATGATGCTGGCTCTGTTCACGGCGAAATACTTGTAAATGCTTAAACTGGCCTTTACCACTCAAGCAAACACAAGACGGCTGAACAAGATTACGTGAAACGTGACCTGACAGTTATGGCCGAAGCTGGGCGCGAAAAGAACTAAACATTTTATCCATCTAAACTAATGATCCATTAACATAACAACTGGCTTATTAACGGGTCATCGTTCAAGGGGCTTCATGGGTGAAAAATGGATTATCATTTCAGCTTTGCCGCAGCTGTAGGGTTGAAAAATAGGTGGAGCCCATCGAGCACTACCTCAGCTCTGACAACTGCGCGATACAAATTCCCCGGAAAACACATCTACGACTGTCTCGCTGTGTTAGCCCTATCGGAAATTGGTAATCTACAATAGTTGCCTTTATAAGTGACACGAAATGGTTCGATCATTTGAGTAGGTGAACAACGGAACCTCTCAGCGGTATCTCAATGGTCCTATTGGCTTAAGCGCGCTGGTAACGGCCAGCAGCCGCATCAACTCAACTCAACCACACTATTCAGTTCAAGATTGAAAGCGAATGCGTCATTTATAAGTGAATAAAAACCGTTGCGAGAGTAGATGAGGCAGTCAATTTCCCAACAGATCTTGAATCCTTAGCGGGGACCGCAAGAACTAAATTTGAAAATCGGTGTAAACCGAAACTCTGCAACGGCACTCGACTCACAGCCACGAAATAGAAGCAACAACTCCGATCGAATCGTTCAATCCACCCGATTCTAACCAATAATTCAAGCGACTGAAGTTCCCTGTTCGTTTAATGCTTGTAATCACTATCGATGGAGCTCAGGGTCTACAGACTGTATGGATTGCTTCGTACTTTTGGGCAATTGTACAATATGTTGCAGGTTCCAGGGTGGGCAGTATGTGCCACAGCGCAGTATAACAGGGTGTAGCTAATATTATATATATTTCGATTTTTTAAGCTGTTATATAAAGCTGTTAGTTGCACAAAGTTACCATCATACCTTGAGTTCATGGCAGAGTTCGGCTACACAAAAGACCCACAACTAAGTTGCAACAAAAACCAACAATTGCATTCAGTATTTAACAAAGTTTTGAAGTGCTGCATGTACATAAATATACATAGGTTGTGCAAGAAGAGAGTACCAGCAACAATGGCAAATAATAACTAAGCAACAGAAAATGGAACGTTTGCAACAAAAAAATATATAAATAAATGTGGCATACAACAAATAAGAAGAGGCAATATAATAAACGCTGCAGCAGCGATGCCAAATGTACAAGCAAATTGTATTATATGTTGCGGGGTCGAGTTGCAATACCGACAACAACAATAATAATAACAAACAACAACAACAAAACCAATAAATCCCTGATTAACCGTGGCTGACAATGTAGAAAGGAAGAGTGTGAAGTGAAGAAAGAGCGAATGAATGGAATGAGAGTCCATGAATCGGTGTAAATTATATGCAGCAAATAGAATAAGGTAAGCAACAAACAACAAGCAACAACAACAACAACAAAGAATAAATGAATAACCAAAGTTGTGTACCCTGCATTTTGATTAATATCCGGCACACAGCTGCAAGCGCGCACAGACTTGCCCGGTGAGTGAGCGTTAAGTGGGCGGCGAACAAACAGACGGCAACACTATGGGCAAAGCGGACACCCGCTACAACACGGCTCGAACAATGGACAAAGCATGACCAGCAATATCACATTGCTGCGCCAAAGACAGCCATTAGCCAGCGCACAGCAGCAGAGACACCTAGACAACCCAGATACATGTGTACACACACACACACACACACACACACATGCTTTTACTCAGTTGTGCTAGCGCAAAATGAAAGTAAGGAGAAAAAAAGGTAGTAAAAGTACTTGTTGCCAGCGGTCATTCGTGCAGCTTTATTGCGGCAACAAACTTGGTAAGTCCAACAGCAGCGGCTGCTGTCGCTTATTGTGTGGTTGTTGCAAGCAGAAAAGAAGAAGAAAAATGGGTTGTGTTGTAAGAGCGGCAAAAAAACACCGAGAAACTTACAACACAACAACAACAACAATAACAACAACAACGAAACAGTTAACAACATTGCTCTCGAATCTGGACCAACACAACTTTTAGGGGCACACAATACGTGTACTTTGGCAGTTTCTTACGAAGTTTTCGCTGTCATGTAAGTGCCGAAGGAAGTCTGTAAATAAAAGAGACCAGTGAAAAAAAAAAAGAAAAACAAAAATGAATTGCAAATAAATAACTGTGGCGAAGAACTTTGCTCGCATTGAATGCTGTCGAATTTTCAGTCGGGGCGAAGGTGAAGAGTGAAACGCAGTCTAATGTAAGTGAAAAGAAATTTTGTAGAAAAATGGTAATAAATAAAGAGTCCAGTTGCGGCTACAGCTACGGAAGGGGGCAGCTTCAATATTTATTATCACTCAAGTATAGTTGTTGTTACGCAACACTTCCAGGTCAACTTTATTCATGCGTA